AGGCCTAGTGGCCCAGCTGACATGTGAGTTTATAGAGACAACCCACATATTGGTCTGTTCTGAGCATATAAAACTGAACGTGAAGAAGAAGAGACTCTCAAAGTCTTATGGCCTCTGATGCTCAACTTTCCTCATTCTTATGAAATAGGTCATAATTTTCTCGTAATCGAGCAAATGGTTAGTTTTAATCCCAAAGAGAAAGCTGAATAGGTCAGCAGAGATGATTTGGTTGAACCAGGTGTTCAGCATACTGTATATTTCTTAGTGTGCAGTGAGTTGAAAATTTTAAATTACTTGATCTCAGGACTTTTACCCAGCATCTTCATAAGCATACTTTTATCGAACTTTTTTTTCAGTGAACTTATATTCAATCATAAAAAGAATATTTTAGCAGAAGTAAAAGATATGTATTAATTTTATACTAATATTCATGCTTTCTCCTTCATTATGAGGTGTTCACGATTATATTACCCAAAATGCCCTACCTAAAAAGAAATTTCCTAGCTTCCTACCTCAAAGAAATTGCCAGCTCACTGTCTTGAAGGGAATGTCCAGTCTCCTGTCTTGAAGGGAATTCCCAACCCCCTATCTTGAAGGGAATTCCCAACCCCCTGTCTTGAAGGGATTTTCTCATCTTGAAAGGATTTCCCGTCTTCCTTTCCTGCAGGAAATTTCCAATATTTAAAAAAAAAAAGGAATTCCAACTCCTCATCTCAAAAGGGGATTCAAACATATGACCACCACGCCGACTAGTCACTGCAGGTGACAGGTTCAATTCCCGGCACGGTAACTATAGCTTTCGATTTTTATGTTGTCTAGTGTGTTCTTCTATCTTTCTACTTCTTTCTATGAGTGCCGATCAATACACTTTCTGTTACTCGATTAATTCATAATATTTAACGGCCTAAAAGGTTCCCCCTCTGTTTATTTATAGGCATTCCTTAACCAGCAAAGTTTTTAGCCATTAGATTATTGAAGCATGCCGTCTGATTTGTTTTTGCAATGAAATGCACACCGACGTATTCAGGAGATCAAAACAACAAGTCAGTGACCTGGAACACGGCCATCTTTAGCTATAAATCTAGAGTTGGCGGTGCCTGGAAGTATCCCGAAAGCACTAACGTATATTTACCTGTGGTGGGAACAAACACTCTGACACCTTTCTGTGACATTTGGTTGTGTGACCTGTTATATTGATTGCCTCCCTACAAAGGTTCCTTAGCTGAGTGTGAGACAGGAAGATTAGAAATCATTGCAGATTTAGAGAACCAGCTGATGTGTTTATCTTGTCCACATTGAAGGTTTCCACATTGAAGGTTTCCACATTGAAGGTTTCCACATTGAAGATTTCCACATTGAAGGTTTCCACATTAAAGATTAACAAACAATTCTCTAACACCTTCAAAGGTTGTAGTAATTAGAGCTGGAGTAGTGGTAGTGGTTGTAGTGTAACAGTAGTACTAGTATCAAAGAACACAGTGGATACATATATCTAGGTCACTGGACCCCTTTGAGAAGGTTGAACAAAAATATAAGCAGTGCTACGAGCATTACTAGGAGTAGAAGCAGCAGCAGCTGCAGTAGTTTTAGCAGTAGTCTTGTAGAGGAGATTATAGACATTTTAATATGATTTGCATTCTAATAATGACCTCACAGCACTCATGGCATGACAAGTGTTATCAGCCTCTTCCAAATGAAATCGATGAGTAGAGACTGTTAGTGGTATAGCATTCTAACCTTTTAACAGATTTATACCATCATCTACAACGTTCTTTCCCCTGGTGACATTATTCTGTTGTGCGTTCTCAGCCTGCCAATCTGTCCTTTAATTTCCATGCACACATGCATCACCTGCAGAGTAGATTCACTCCAATTCTTGTAATTGTGGTGACACCTTCTATTTATTTTACTCAGTGGGTTCCTGATAATTGACTGCCTATTTATGCTTTTCATATGGTCTCTTAGTGTGCGTACTATCCAGCACCAACGTCGTTTCTCCACCTGGTAATTTGCTTTTATTAAAACTGTTGCTGCAAAAATCAACCAACCACAAATACCTCTAACAAAGAAGAAGAAAAAAGGAAACACAAATTCAACGAAGACGAACCTATTTATTAATGTCAATGAAAGAAAACGCGGTGTACGATGCGTTCCTATAGAGTACAAATTTGCGCAATAACTAGACCAAAACGTCCGGGCTTGATTCGAACAGTTTACTTACCCCAGGCTGTGAACCGACACTAGTACGCACCACTTGAATGTGTGAACTAATATTATATGCACGGTTCCCAAACGGTGTGAGAGAAGGCTGGAATGAATCTAGGGCACTCTTAGGGATTAGAATAATTTGTCACTGAATGGTTGCGTAACGAAGTGGTTAAACCGTTTGCCTTGCTCCTTGACGGTCCAGGACTCTTTGCACGGACTGCATCGTTCGGCTCCCGAGCGCAAGTGTAACAATATCGTTGATGACTGCGACTTAAAGCTACTGAGATGTTGTTTTGTACACCCCCACCCATCACCACCACAACGGACTCCATTCTTGTCATAAGAAAGAGTGGCTACTGTAAGTAAAGTATAGACAACGGACACCGCTTCAAGGCACGGGCTTTCTTGTGTACATGCATATGTCATTTTAAGTCATTCACTAGGTAGGCAGGTAAGTTGTACCCACCATAACATCACACAAGCGATGAACACCCGGTGACACAGAGTGATACCATGCAGATGTGAGGTTAGGCCCGACAGTATTTAGGGCCCCTGGCAAAAGAGAGGATAGGGCTTCAAATAACTAACAATTGCATCCGACATAGGGATAAGATGCGCAGAAGTCATTTGCTGACTGACTGACTTTCTACCCCACCAGACATCACACAAGCGATAAACACCCGATGACACAATGTGCAGAAGTCCCCCGTGTGGTTTCCGGGGCCCTGTTATAGGGAAAACATGAATAGACCCACTGCTTACCCAAAAGAATCGACTAACTTGGAGCTTCCTTTGAAATCGGAGTGCATCTGCCTGAGAGGCAAGGAATCAACAGTCTGTACACAAATTTGTCAGATCTGTCAAACGGATGTAGACACAACGCTCAAGTTCTGGAACAGGACTGCAGTCCAGAAGTGGTTATTGGAACAAAGAAGAGAACTTTCCACTTTCTCTACCCAGTTAACAGCTGGTGAACGCCGATGAAGAAGAATAAGAATGTGCAGAAGTCACAGAAACAAGATATTTACCACAGATTTAGACTGACTGGCCCCCGGCACCAGAGTTTCAAAAGAACGAAAAATTGCATCATCAACCGGACCGGGAACAGTTATAATAAACTCTACCCCCCTGCCGTGACACAATGTGGGTGGTCCTCACCATGTGGGTGATTTTTTTTTTTTCGTTTCCATTCCTGAATAAGCACATTTGTTACGGCCCATTAGTTCGCTTGAATGCTTTAAATGGTAGAATCAAGAGTGTTTTAGTCAAGGCTGTTTAGTTACAAGACATTCTCGAATGCTCCGCTGTTTGGTAAAGTATGAAACCAAATAGGCAAGGTAGTAAGTTTGAAACAAAAATATAAAAAAAAATCTAACTATGCACAATATGTAAGTTGAGTTCTTCTTTTGCGTTCACCCTTATAAACGCGGTTAACAAGTTATGTTGTGGATTACAGCTAGGCTGTGAGTTTGGGCCATTATTAGCTAACCGTATGTTTAGGTATCCACGAATATAGCAGGTATAAACATTTTCAGAATTTTAAGCTAAATATCTTAAGGTAGTCGGTTGGCCAGGTCGACCAGTACGTCAGGTCGGACTTGTACGCTGGAACTTATCGTAGACATGATCATCTAAGTCTGTGTTTTAGGGATTAGAAGAGGATGATAATAAGTTAGAGGTGATCACTTAGATCTGTCTTTTGGTGATTAGAAAAAGTGTTTTAATTCGGCATGAATGCCTATATGCGCCCGCCTATATTTGTCCATTGTCGATAAACATAAAAAAATTTCATTTAGATACGACCGTAGACGATTACAGTTAAGAGGAATTATAGTTAGAGAAAATGGTCCTGCCTATCTGTTTGTGACGTGAAGAAGAGCCTAAGTTCCTGTTCCCCCCCCCCCACCCTCACACACACACACACACACACACACACACACACACACACACACACACAATGTAGTTAGTTGTTTGACGCCAAAATGTGTGCCTAGATATCTTTCTGCCTTTTCAACCGTAGCCAATGTATGCAAGCAAGCAATCATACCCAAGGTTTCCTCCTTGACCTAGGCTTTATATCATTTGTGACACACAAAGATATAACAGCCGAATAACCATTTAAGTTATACACATATCTATAAAAATATCTACATAAATAATATGAGAAAAATGACGCTTGTTAAAAAGCCTTTAACCTGAGGCCGAGAGATAAAAATATAATTACTCGTCCGGAGGTTTCTATCTTAGTCCCTTTTCTTTATCTCCCAGGGATTGCATATACTTCTCTCCCTTGTCCCGTCATTGCTGGAAGCATTTTAGGAAGTCATTTTGGAAATGGAAGTATATTCTTTTTCGTCAAGATCTGCATAACAGCTACATCAGATCATTACAGCAGTATAGCCAAAAATCGCAAGAAATTGTTTTGGCAAAATAAGGATGCTGATGAAAAAGAAGAACGCTATGTTGGCCAAGAAAAAAATCTCAACCTGATTCTAAGAGGGTACTAAGGTGTGTTGTCATGGTGGAATCGCTAATGTCCAGTTCCTAATTAATGTAAATAATACCGAGGTGTAGGGTGGTGTGGGTTAGGGGGCAGGGTCGTCGATAAGTAAGTACCTCAGAGTCCATAGAGTCCATTATTGTTGACAATACTATTTCTTTGCCTTGATCTCTTACACGATGGGGAGAGGCTATTAATTTAAAACACACTAATCTAAAGTTTTGAATACCCAACAGTTCTCACTCAGAGAAATCTGGAGTTGAAGTACCGAAGGCTGAACTAAGACATCGCCATGTTCAAATCCTCCAAGAAGAAAGAGGACAGTTATGTCTGCACTCTGGACTCAGAGGTACAAGAAAAAGCAACAAAGGAATTAAATGAGGATCCTAAAACTCGTCTGTTGGAAGTTAAAAATTTGAAGACTCGACTGGAGAAAGTTCCAGGTATAGAGATCTGTTCTTCTTTTCGACATGTTATTTATATTATGCTATCACAATCGACGTCACTAAACACTTTTTGCATTGTCACGATTGCTCAGTCTTCCGATGGAGCATTCACTCCGAGGTACCTCTACTTTTCCCTAAAAGATGTTAGTTAGAATGTCTCCCGTCTTGACCTCTAAGACGGCATAGATATGCTTCGCCAATCTTTACTCCTAGGTAACGCAATCGTGTAAGCGTCAGCTTCCCAACCTAGTTCGGACTTCGTATACCAACTTGTTCTGCTAACTGTTACCAAATGTATACCAACTTGTTCTGCTGTTACCAAATGTATACCAACTTGTTCTGCTGTTACCAAATGTATACCAACTTGTTCTGCTGTTACCAAATGTATACCAACTTGTTCTGCTGTTACCAAATGTGTACCAACTTGTTCTGCTGTTACCAAATGTGTACCAACTTGTTCTGCTGTTACCAAATGTGTACCAACTTGTTCTGCTGTTACCAAATGTATACCAACTTGTTCTGCTGTTACCAAATGTATACCAACTTGTTCTGCTGTTACCAAATGTATACCAGCTTGTTCTGCTGTTACCAAATGTGTACCAACTTGTTCTGCTGTTACCAAATGTGTACCAACTTGTTCTGCTAACCGCGCGAGTGCTCTGTGGGTAATTTCAGTGAAATGCTTGACGTAGTTACCTGGTAAGCATCATTAGTCTCCTTTAGTTTTCCCCTTCCTTGGTGCTAATTTTTGGCAAGCCTGTACGACTCTTTAGTTCTTCACAATATAAGCGAAGGTAACTGCGAAGGTTAAGGAGATAGTAACAACACCCTAAGTTCCATTCTCCCCCAAGATCCACACTGACAAATGGACTCCTAGATCGACCTAACCTAAAACAAATACTGAAGAATTTCCTTTAGTATAAAGGCAGTCTGTAGTCGCCGCGATTAGATGCTCGCCTGCTATCCGAAGGTCTTGAGTTCGAAACCACATTGAGGCAACAAAAAATATGCTAACATTTTAAAAGCTGAGCGTGGCTGCTTGTAGGCCCAGCTTTAAATAGGTACCAGATAATATAGTGGGAAGTAAAAGCAGCCGGCATGATCTGAACCACATTACACATCGAGTGTTGATCCTACGCCCGATGCGCCACAGACTAAAAAGAGTCTTTTATTGTGCTGGTGGTGCTATTAATACTGATGATACATTTCCTCGAATGCTGGATCTGCATCACTGGGTGGTGAATTGATACATGACAAGGCAGATGTGGTCCAGGCCTTTTAGGAACCAGCAACAGAACCAGTAGAGAAACAAGATTATTATGGCCTGGAGAGAAGTGGCACCTGGGTGTAACCAGAGGGTCTGGCCGGCTCACTACACTCAGAGAAAAGACAAGACGAACATATAACTAGATTTTGACCGGTACCATCAGTACTGGAACTCGGCGCTGGCTGCTGAAGATGAAGGACGAAGCATACATGGCAATGCCCCTAGGGCTGTGATATCAATTCTTGACATAACTTAACACTCAGCTAAACTCCCTCGAATGCGTATTGATCTGTCACAGTATAAAGATATCGATAAAATCAGTGAAAGCATTGAGAAGGGGGAAGGAGGGCATTCAGCCACTTTACAAATGTTCTCAGAATAGGTATCTCAATATGATAAACCCGCCCCACCCCCTTCCCCCCTCAGGTTGCAGCACCCCTGTGCTCAGTATGTTTGAATTTGTTTGATTACGTTTTTAATGCACGTATATGTTATTGCATATGTTGAGACTGCAGTCTGTGTCATTTTTCTCCACCCATGATCGAAATCAACGTAAAGCTGTCTGCTGCAGTGTCGCCCGCAGCTGGACTGGAATCGTATTCCGGCAATACGAAGCGCGTTCGCAACGCCTGAGCCACAGACACCCTCGCAGTGTTAGAGTTATATGATGAGGGGAATCATGTTTATGCAACAATTAGTCTTCTTTACGCTCTCCCTGTTGGTGGTTTTCAGATAAGAATATCAAGGAAAGATATGAACTCGAACGAAAAGTAGATCAGCAAGCTTCATAATATACCGAACAAAACGTGAACGTTGCGGCTATGAAGCCTTCACCGGCACATACACAAATTTGACAATACTACTCAAATACACAATATCACTTATCTTTGTATCTAGAAGCAGATATGAGACAAGAAGGATAAGTAGACAAGAAGGCAACAGGCCTATATGAAGGCGATGGGGAAATACATGTTATCCACTAATCCACCCAGATTGGTTTCCACCATATGCCAGCTGCTCAGACCTGAAACTTACCTTCCTTCAGCATGTTGAAAGCATGTCTAACGCACATGTTTAATTTTCTGTGGTGTCCGTCTACAGAGGCACCCCTCCTCTGCACACCCACCCCAGGCTGGACGTTCCCTTATATATACTGGACTTCAGAGTCTCCTGTGACCCTCCCAAAATCGACTTGACGGCGGGGCAGCCAATCCAACGATTCGGAGCGCAGCAAGAGGCCAGCCAGTTACAAAAACAGCCAAACGAGAGGAAACCACAACAAACACCGAGCGACAGAACACTGAAAGCACAGTCCAAAACCATATGAGGACCAGAAACGTCACCACAAATATAGCGGACAGGGCAGAGAGCAGCAATGTTTTCTGATCCTAGCCGATAGTGGTCAAAGTTAAATGAAGAAGAAGAAGAAGAAGAAGAAGAAGAAGAAGAAGAAGAAGAAGAAGAAGAAGAAGAAGAAGAAGAAGAAGAAGAAGAAGAAGAAGAAGAAGAAGAAGAAGAAGAAGAAGAAGAAAAAGAAGAAGAAGAAGAAGAAGAAGTCTGCTGTGTCCAGTTCGAAATCTAAATACAATTGGGGGTATGCCACAGTTCGGCGAGGAATGAGAAGGTGAGAAAAGCTCATTAATAATGTAAGGCAGTGATTCCAAAATTGTCCGACGCGGCCCGGTGCAGCCGCGACCTCTTCACAGGGGGGCCGTGAAATATTCGAAGGTACACGAGTGGTTTAAAAAAAAAATCTTTTACACACGAATAGTCATACTTTTACTTAGGTTAGCGCACTGTGGAGAAATTTTTATTGAAATAAAAAGGCGCCGCTATTAAGAACAGTTTGGCTTTGAACATGTCGCTTTTAGCTAAACACAAACATACAATTTAACATAAAGATCGATTCATTATACAAATATATCACCAGGTCTGCAGCCACGAACCGATGTCCAGTTTCTCCTACGTTTCTTACGAGCTCGCAAGTTTGACCAGGAAAGGACTTTCCAACTGGTGAAGAACTATTACGACATCCGTCTCCATTTTCCGGACATTTTCAGTGATCTGAAGCCAACTAGGGTCCGGCATGTCTTTGATGATGGCGTTTTTGAAGTACTGAAACATCGGGACAAGGACGGATGTAGAATCGTCATTTTCAGGCCAGGTGAGCTGAATTTTGTTTACGTAGATTTAATGTGGTGATTAGAGTAAAGTTTGACAGTGACAACGAGTTGACTGTAGCAACAAGTTGTAGTTTGTGGGTAAATTGCCCTGCCAACCACAGGGACTAAATCCTGAAGGCGGCATGAATAAAACAGACTTACACAAAAATTAAAAGCTGACAAATTACTATTAGACATATTCTTGTTGTAGGTTCCGGGACCCCATTGTGGGGAAGAAAAGAATAGACCTACTGCCTCCCCAGCAAGCATGTCGTAGGAGTCTAATGATTTGAGACTTCCTTCAAAGTCGGAGTGCATCTGCCCGAGCGGCAAGGAACAACCTGATGCACACAAATAGCCAGTAAAACGGATGTACATACAAAACTCAGATCCTGAAACGCAGCCAAAGTCAAAATGGAAAAACAACCAAGATTTTTCACAAGAGCATACAGACGTTAAACAAAAAAGAAGAATTACAATATAAAATTTTGCAACAACGTGTACAACATACAGTTACAAGCAATACCATCATCATTAATCAGTGAGTCGTTTTCCGAACTTCTCTGTCGTCACGGTACACATGAAAGTCTCTCTCTAACCAGTTCTCTAGCCCTATGTGCTTTCATAACCAATGAATCTCTAATGTCTTGTATCCACGTTCGCGGAGGTTTGCCTCTTACCCCCACCCATGAAAAAACAAGTATACCCAAATAAAAAAGGTTTTTAAAATACAGTCAAATACGTTGAAAAAGCAAGGACAGGCTCAAGTGGTTTGTGAAGTTTTAGGATTACACCTATAGTATCAGAAGTTAAAAGAGAAACCAGATATTATTACCTTTAGAGAACGATGCACCTGGGTGTGACCAGAGGGTTCGGCCGTCACACTACGATCAGAGGAAAGGCAAGACAGGCATACGACCCGACTACGTCTGGTACCATGAGTATTGGAACTTTGAGCTGGCTGCTGAGGATGGTGACGAAACACTTATGGGATTGCTTAGAGTTAATAATGTCAGTTCTTAACTTAGCTCAACTTACCTGGAGTTTTAGTATTATTATACTGCAAGCTCTGCAATGAAAACGTGAGAATATACTCTGAGTACGAGGAAGCTCAGTTCTTTAATTTAAAGATCTTGCGTGGGGATTACCAATCGGTAATTACCGTTTTCTTGGTATGCATGCGCTGGAAGTTCTTGAGTTAATGGATTCCCGGATTAAGATCTGTACGACGTTGCATGAGAACAGGGTGGAGAGTTTGCTTCACATTTTGAGAAAACTGGGGTATTTGTGGAGAGTCGGAAAAAATTTAAAGGTCGCCTGATCCACATACTCTTCCCTCTCTTCATTATCTTCTTCTTCTTCTTCTTCTTCTTCTTCTTCTTCTTCTTCTTCTTCTTCTTCTTCTTCTTCTTCTTCTTCTTCTTCTTCTTCTTCTTCTTCTTCTTCTTCTTCTTCTTCTTCTTCTTCTTTTTCTTCTTCTTTTTCTTCTTCTTCTTTTTCTTCTTCTTCTTTTTCGTCTTCTTCTTCTTCCTCTTCTTCTTCTTCTTCTTCTTCTTCTTCTTCTTCTTCTTCTTCTTCTTCTTCTTCTTCTTCTTCTTCTTCTTCTTCTTCTTCTTCTTCTTCTTCTTCTTCTTCTTCTTCTTCTTCTTCTTCTTCTTCTTCTCCTTTTTTTCTGCATTTAACCTACAGTTAACTAACGATATCTGCGTCTTTAGGTCAAACATTTCATTGCGACAAACCTTCAGTTAGTGAACTTTTACCACATGCTGTTAACGGCCCGATGCCCCCCCCCCCCCCCCCCCATCCTTTTCACCCCAAATGATGTCCAGGAACCCGTATAGGGAAAGCACAAATAATTGTTAATATAGTGATCTAATATTGTGTCGTTCTCTCCGTATGGATTCTGTGCCCATTTTGGAGGAAGGAAAGAATAGACCCACGGCAGCCCCCCCCCCCTCCCCCAAACCACACAACACGCATGTCGTAATTACGGGTTGCTGATAGCAGACTAAAAGGACTTGACGATTTGACGGTGTGAGTCTAACAAATTTCAGTTGCTGATAGCAGACTAAAAGGACTTGACGATTTGACGGTGTGAGTCTAACAAATTTCAGTTGCTGATAGCAGACTAAAAGGACTTGACGATTTGACGGTGTGAGACTAACAAATTTCAGTTGCTGATAGCAGACTAAAAGGACTTGACGATTTGACGGTGTGAGTCTAACAAATTTCAGTTGCTGATAGCAGACTAAAAGGACTTGACGATTTGACGGTGTGAGTCTAACAAATTTCAGTTGCTGATAGCAGACTAAAAGGACTTGACGATTTGACGGTGTGAGACTAACAAATTTCAGTTGCTGATAGCAGACTAACAGGATCAAAAAATGTAACAGTATGAAACTAAAAAGTTTCACTGCTGATGGCAGACCAACTGGACAAGCCCGGATACCCCATTCAACCTCTGAAGAAATTATAATTAGGGCGGACACCATGCCTCGAGACCACCCAGCTCCCTAAGTGACAATGTTTAAACGCTGGCAAGAAACTAGCAGGTGCTGAAGACTCAACAGTTATGTTACTACTGTTATATTCTGTCAGAAGCCTGGGATCCCGAACGGTACCCGATCATCGATTTACTGAAAGTTGTTTATGTGCTGCTGGCCAAAGTTCTAGAGGTAAGTGGTCACGCTTGTGAGGTTTCAGTAACCAGGCGAATAGCCAAGCAGGACAAAGGTGTATGCTTTGTGCTAGTCGGAATAGTCATGGTGGACACGCTAAGTACAGCGGTACCAGCGTATAGCCATCAGTCCTGTCTTGATCCTTGGATGAATGCCAGACAGGGCGTATACCACACATGGCGCATACCCAACTGGACGTATATCAAACAGGGCGTAAACCCAACTGGACGCATACCAATTAGGACGCATACCAAACAGGACGTATACCAGACATGGAGTATACCAAACAGGGCGTATACCAAACAGTACATATACCAAATAGGACATTTTAAAGTGCCTGGTTTCTTTGGCAGAGCTATAAATATGGATTTTAAAAATTCATTTGGAATATACCCGTGTAGTGAGTCATTTTCTCCTCATTAATTTATGCCCGATAGATGACGTCAGTAATAGATGTAAGACGAATGTTTTGACTGGCTGAGATAACACGAGATTTATGTCTTGAGTTTCATGAGAGACATCTGAAAGTCAGGTTTTATGTGAAACATGATTGTTCACAGGATTTGTGTGAAATGTGAATTATCACGGGCCAGACACGACTTTCAACAGTGGGAAATTCGTGAGAATGAATCTAGAATATTCTAGAACAGGTTAGATCAGAGGGCTATATAATAGCGAAGAAAAGGTTTGTGGGCAGTCTCGTTTTGGACCCAGGAACAGTGTGCATGGACAGCGGTGGATGATGTGTGAATTCAGCAGATGTTTTGAGTGAATTTGTTCCAGTCCAACTTGGCGAAGAAAGCTGGCCAGTAATATGTCTGCCGGTCGTCTGAGTGTATCTGTCAGGACAGCTGTTGTGTTTCGTTTACGATGTTAGTGTAAATCGATTGGGATTTCTGCTTGAAGGTAATAATTGATTCTTGCATTATAATGTGTGCCTGGACAGTTGTCAAGTTCATGTGCCGGCTGTGTAAGCCGCGAGTGGAAGATTAAAGTACTGGAACAGTATCGTGTTGTTTCCCAGTCGTCCATTTTTTCTGCTCGTCGTGTGATGTCGGTTTTGTGAGTTGGCAGCGAGCGTGCGATGAGGCGAGCCAGTAGAAGATAAAAGAGAATCTTCGCAACCCGCTATTATAAATATCATTTAAAAGTTTAGTTATTATTTTAGTTCAAAATCTCTCAGTGCTTCCATTTCTTCCAGTGAGATGTTGTCTGGCCCGGGTGCTTTTCCTTTCTTCATATGATGTATTGCATCCTCAACTTCTGCAGTCATTATTGGTGGACCATCATTGTTGGTCTGCATCTCTACATCTGGTCTATTATCATCATACAATTTCCCTTTATACTCTGTCTATCTGCTAATTATATTACTATGTCCCATTAATAAGTCACCATCTATTGATTTTAAACATCCAGTGCTGTTACGTGTCATCTTTCCTGTTAACATATTTATCTGTTGGTACATGGAATGTGAGTTTTCCTGTGATTTCCCCCAATCTCTGTACACATTTGATTCAGCCAGGCTTCTTGAGCCACTTTGCATTTGTTTAATATTTCTTTTTGAATTCTAGAGTATACCTCTTTATCACTCTTTTTCTTCCTTCTTTCATCCATCAACTGCAGAATTTCCGTTGACATCCTTTTTTTTTTGCAACTCTATGGGTTAGTGGGATTGTCTCTTTTGATGTCTGCTGATTTGACTCACGCAACAAAGCCCACGGTTCACAAATAATCTGTTTAATTTCCATTGCATTATACTGGTTTTGTACAGTGAAATTGTACTGTTCTTCAATTTCGTTATCCGTTCGAAGAATTCCTAATTCAAACTTGTTCAGTGGTGTTTTTCTAATGTTCTTTAGTTTTATTCTTATTTTTCCTACAACTGGAACATGCTCACTAAAGCAGTCTGCTCCTGGTTTAGTTTTTGCTCCAACTAAGCTGCTCCGGAATCTTCTTGAAATCAAAATATAATCAATCTGATTGCGGACATTATCGCCAGGACTTTTCCAAGTCCACAATCTTCGAAGATGGTGTTTAAACCAGGTGTTACCCATCATCATGCTGTGAGACTCAGCCCATGCTATTAATCTGTCACCTCTCAGATTCTTTTCTCCTAGGCCATAGCCACCCGTTATTCCGTACACTTGACTGACTGACTTTCTACCCCACCAGGACATCACACAAGCGACAAACACCCGATGACACATAGTGCCACCATGCGAATGAGGATCGCATATTTATGGCCTGCCAATATTGCGGCCTCTGGCAAAAGCCAGAGTGGGGCTTCAAATAACAAAAAATTACGTCCTGAGAAGGGCGTAAGGAATATTCCGTACACTTTTTCATTTCCTATTTTCGCGTTGAAATCATCAAGTACCATTGTTACTTCACAATTTTTGCATTGATCAACAGCCAAGTCTAACTCATCATAAAATTCGTCAATATCTTCCTCTGAACTATCTGCTGTTGGGGCATAAATCTGTACTAAGTTGATGTCAAGCGGTCTGCCGCGAAGTTTTACTAATAGTACTCTGATATTGTCCAAAATCCTTTCACAGTTTTTGAGTTCTTTGGATCTTAAATAATACCATCTCCCTTGCTATATTCCTTCCCACTTGAGTAAATAATTCTGTGCTGATCTGAATGCTTTTCCCCTGCTCCTGGCCATTGCATTTCACTAATTCCTAATATGTTGAAGTTCATTCTCTTGATTTCCATCTTGATGTTATCCAGCTTTCCGTTGTGTACGAGTGTTCTGACATTCCATGTACCAATGTTCAAGATGTTTCTACCATTTACTTTTTTTACAGTAGCTGGATGACGGTCGGGTATCACCCGTAGAACATGATGTTCTCTACCATTGACTTGTTCTACAGTAGCTGGATGACGGTCGGGTATCACCCGTAGAACATGATGTTCTCTACCATTGACTTGTTCTACAGTAGCTGGATGACGGTCGGGTATCACCCGTAGAACATGGTGTTCCCTACCAGGAATGTATTATCACCATCCAGTACTTTGCCTATTGGCATGGGCGATCAAGTCTCTCCGCAGTCTGCGATCAGTTCATGTGTCGACGTACTCCAAGCCCTGCCAAAATGCTGTCAAGAATGTTCTATCAAGAAACAGTCTCTAAAGCATACAACATATTTCAGTTACATTTAGTACACATATTACGCGAAGAATTAATATTGTTTGCGGCCTCCGTGGCTTAGGCGTTGCGAGTCTGACTCGTAATTCTAACGTACCGCGATCGAAACTCATTGCTGGCTGTGTGGATTTTTATCATGGTATGGGGCGTCGCAGGTCGACCCAGCCTAAAATGGGCACCAGGATGGCTGACCTAGGGAAGTAAAGACGGCCGGCGAAATGCTGACCACATTACCAGCCTGGTGCTGATGGTCTGTAAAAATATGGGCGCTCTTTACATATGCCCGATACGCCTTAAAGGCACGAAAGGGGATCTTAACTTCACTTTATTAATATTGTTTATAATTGTAGATAACTCAACGCAACCATATTACAAAGTTTGCTATTAATATTTAGTTGCTTATATGTCTATTTTTATATATTAAACTTTTTATAAATGAGATAATGCGTGCCAGATGTAAGGGCTAGCGGCAGAATGTCGGACAGGCCTAAGTGCCTAATTCTTTCCCTATTGAAAATAAAGTTCGTTCACTTATTATCAGGAAGAAGTCATACAGGTCAATGGAGTTCACTTAATCAGTTACTTCTCATCGTTGACCCTCAAACAAGTATCACAGCTGACTCCGAGTTTGGCCAAGTTTTTCATTAGCACTATTCAGGTAACATTTAGCTTGTTTCATTCAAGTAGAGCCTGGTGAAAGTGGTGCCTTAAGCATTATGTAATTAATGTTGTGTGATCAATTGGGTGTAATGAACGTGGTGTGATATACACTCACATGCATATATACATACATAAATGCATATACACATACATAAATACATACACACACATACATACATATAAAGGAGCATCTGTTCTAAGATATATGTTCTCTTCTTCTGCTGCTTTTACCGCTACAAGGATAGATGGCATGTTGTTTTGCAAACTTACAGCTAGGCTGCCATATCCACGCCTTTACAACTCAACACGTCGATTGCAGCAAACTTCTAATTAGTCGTCTTTTACAACATGCTAATTACAGGGGTGGTGGGTCTGTTACAAAAAAGAGGGGGCGGGGGTGCGGTGCCGGAAACGATAGATGTTTATTTATAAATAATCCTTTCCAGGATATATGTTTATTACACTGGGTCCCCGTGGTGAAGTGATCAAACCGTTTGCCTCGCACTCTGAAGGTCGTGGGTTTGTCTCGCAGCTGAACTGTTTCGTTCACGAACGCAATATCTGCAGAGATCACATGGGATTGTCATCGGAGCTACGGAGTTTGTGATCTGTGTAGCGCGAGCTCTCACCCTCAGCAGACGGGTAACCCTACTGCGAACAGAGATCCAGCCATTCGGAAAACAACCCGATGCAGTGAAGTAAATCTTGGCGACATAACCTGAAACTGAGCGTAATCTGAGAAATATATTTATATACACTCTTTTCTACGACATATATTTACATATTATATGAAGGACATATGTTTGTATTGATAATCTTTCTAGTAGATATGTTTGTACTAAAGTATGTTCGGGAAAGTATGTTTTTATATAAATAAGATCTATTCTAGTATATATATATATATATATATATATATATATATATATATATATATATATATATATATATATATATATATACATTAGAGTTGTACCGAATAGTGATTTTCACTATTCGGCCGAATACGAATAGTGAGACCAACTATTCGGCCGAATACGAATACGAATAGTGTATCATCATCATCATCAGGTGCCTTGCCGACTGGCGTGGGCGATCATGCATCTCCACACTCTGCTATCTCCTGCAACATATATCAGTTCAAGTGCTGACACACCTCCATGCCATGCAACAAGACTTTCAAAAATCTTCTATCGTTGTCTTCCTCTGTCTCTCCTTCCACAGATCTTTCCAGTGGTCACCAGATATTCAATTTTCCATCTTCTCATAACATGGTGAAAAATGACGACTGTCTCCTTCTGATGTCTGTGATTAGTTGTCTTTGGGCTCCTGCCTCTCTCAAAACCATCGTTCGCTCGGCCGTTCGTTCGATGCAATTTAAACGCCCCCTTATATCCTCGTTAGCAATATCTTCAAATTTGATTTGGGAGAAGACACCCTGAATGAACGAAAAATGCATGATCTCTCTCTCTCTATCTCTCTCTATCTATCTCTCTCTCTCACACACAGACACACACACAGACACACAGACACACACACTCACACACACACACACACACACACACACACAAACTGTGGTTGGCATTTTATGCACTTTGTACCACTCAACTGGGTCGCAGTTTCCCCCGCTACGACAGACTTAGGCATCAGCAACTATTGTGTTAATGAGAGAGTTATTTCAGTCCATCAAAGTGTATGCAGAAACGGGAGTAAGGTAACCACTATTCGTATTCGGCCCGACCGCAACTATTCGGCCGAATACCGAATAGTTATTAAGTCCACTATTCGGTCCTGAAGCGAATACGAAGCGAATATTCGGTACAGCCTTAATATATATATATATATATATATATATATATATATATATATATATATATATATATATTTTTATATAAACACCCCTTTCCCTTACCCAAGCGTTATACATACGCTATGCTGATGACAGAGTACCGATAGCTGAAAACGCAAATGATCTACAACAATTATTTGACACTGTAGTGACAGAGATAGAGAGAGTGCAAAAAAGCAGTCTGCCCTTGAATGTAAAGAAAACGGAGGTAATGATTACATCAAAGAGAAAAAATACCACAACAGTGTGATATTAGAATAGGCCAGGCTAAGGCTGCATTTCCCAGAATGAAGAACATCTTCTGCAACAGGTCCCTCTCTTTGGATGTCCGAAAGAGAGTACAAAAATATTATGTAGAACCAAATTGCTGTATGATAGTAAATCATGGAATGCAGGTGCACAAATTAGAATGACCTTGAAGGCGACGGAGATTTGGTTTTTCAGACGTATATTAAGTATCCCCTGGACTGCCGGAGTAACTAACAAGGATTGCTCGAAGGAAGCTAATGAAGGCAGATCAATATAAACAGCTTCAAGGAAAGGACAAGCACGGTTCTTTGGTCATGTGGTGAGTTGGGAGGCTATGGAGAATATTGTGACGACTGGAAAGATCAACAGTAGAAGAAAGAGAGGCAGACCAAGAGAGAAGATGGCGGATGGACTGCGACGGTGGCACAGAGGGATATAGTCGGTGGAACTGATCCAGAGAACAAGGGACAACGATCTGTGGAGATGCATAAACGCCTACGCCAGGTGGGAGGGCACGTGATGATGATGATGATAATGATTTATACATACATATACACTCTATTCTAGGATATATGGTAATGTATAACATACATTCTTTTATGCATATTTATATGATGATATAGGATGTTCTACCTATGAGGCTGAAAAGATACGATATCGTGAAAGAGCCAGCATTGTTTGACGTTGTCTGGGCTATCCTCAAACCGTTCATGAAGGAGAAGCTTTTAGGGAGGGTAAGTGAAATGCTATACCCACCTCTCACACAAAAATACTATAGCCGATTTGACAATGACTTAAGTTGCAATGTGTAATGCCGATACTCGTGTTCAGCCACGTTTCGCAATCCCATACCATCACCAGTATCTTCGGGCAGATCTGTGTTCTTGTCTCAGCATGTATGTGGCTTAGACGCCCAAGCATTTTTGTTGTTGTTTTTGTTGTTGTTATCTCTCATGTAGGTGTGTATGTATGGAATGTGTGTGTGCATTTATCTCCATATATGTATGTGTGTGTCTTTTCTGTTTGTGTATGTATGTAGATGTATGTATGTATGTTCTGATTGTGTATGTATGTAGATGCATGTTTGTAGATGCATGTATGTATGTATATATGTATGTATTAAGTATGTCAGTCAATGAGTGTGCATGTATGAAAATGAAAGAGCAGATATACGTGTGCGTGAGTGTGTAAGAATGTGTACACATGATGTGTGTATGCATTGTTCTATAATGTATATTTCCTTATTATATCCATAACATGCATTTTAGATAACAGGCATTGGTACTCTGAAAAATGAGTGCTTAGAAGGGCCGAATGTCAGACGGGCCTGCGTGCCCAATTTGTAACCCTTTGAAAATAAAGTTTGTTCGTTCGTTCGTTCTCCCTCACTCTTTTCAACTGACAGTTGTCCCCAAAGGTAAAACCTTATTTCACCTCATACCTCATACCTTTTGGTGTTAGTATCTCACGTTTGTTTTCTTAAGTCTACGACAATGGTCTCCAACCTTTTTCAGGGGGTGTCCTCTTGAGTGTCTAGCAAGACCCTCACATAAAATATGTGAATAAAAAAGGGAAAAAACAAAATTACAACTTCAAGTATTGTTAACGAGAACGTCAAGAAAAACATGCACATAATTCAGAGTGACAAATAACAAAAGAAGCAATCACCAAAATTCGATAACCTAGTGCCCAAATATCAATGTGATGGTTGACACTTTCTTGTCTTGATGATGTCTGCTGTTTTTGATCTGACGTTGGTCAAGGCACAACTAAGATCACCCTCTGCATGAAGATGGCAACGCGTTGTTTTGCTCTCATGGTTTTTAAAGCTGAAAATCCAGATTAGTACTAGTACAAATGCCTCCAATTTCAAAATTGCTGACGCCTGTTCCCCCCCCCCCACCTCCTTTCAAAACTTCATAACGCCCCTCTCCTTTTTTTGCCTCGCGGTACGAGCCACCCAAGCTGGTCACGACTGGTCTACAATATTCTCTTCATTTTTCTTTATTGTCTCAGTTTCTTTATTTACCACAAACCCCCCCCCCCCCCATCGTTTTCCCCCCTCTCCCCCTCCCCCTGTTTAAAATATATGACGTGTCAGTAATGGGACTAGCCACCGAAGATCATTATGCCCCTAAAGTTAATCTCTGTAACGGTACTATATTTCGTCGTTAATTCAGTTTAAAAAGATAGATAGATTCCCTCGACACCCACAGCGGTAAAAGAGGAAGTGAAGAAGAAGATAGATAGATAGATAGATAGATAGATAGATAGATAGATAGATAGATAGATAGATAGATAGATAGATAGATAGATAGATAGATAGATAGATAGATAGATAGATAGATAGATAGAACAATGGATTTTCAAAGGGGTGGATGGGCATGGAGGCCTGGATGGATGGATGGATGGATGGATGGATCTAATGGATGGATGGATGGAATGGATGGATGGATGGATGGAATGGATACATGGATGGATGGATTTCCCATTCTTTCATACATGGATGGATGGACATGGATGGATGGATACATACATACATACATAGCTAGCCATCCAGCTAGCTAGCTACATACATACTAGCTGCATCTAGATAGATAGATAGATAGATAGATAGATAGATTCCAGATACTCATAGATAGATATATAGATCACATGTATACATAGATAGATAGATAGCATAGATAGATAGATAGATAGATAGATAGATAGATAGATAGATAGATAGATAGATAGATAGATAGATAGATAGATAGATAGATAGATAGATAGATAGATAGATTAGATAGATAGATAGATAGATAGATAGATAGATAGATAGATCAAGTTTAAAATGGCTACAGGAGATGTCATTGGAAGTAAAAAGGGCCGATGTAATGCTAACCACATTACCCATCCTATAAGTAAAAAAAAAAAGTAAAGTTCCCTTTTCACGCCTTTCGGCGCATCGGGCATATGGGCAGAGCGTCCCATATTTTTACAGACCATCAGCACTCTGTGGGTAATGTGGTCAGCATTTCGCCGGCTGTCTTTACTTTCCCAGGACAGCCCATCCTGGTACCCATTTTAGGCTGGGTCGACCTGCGACGTCCCATACCACGACAAAAATCCACGCGGCCTGCAGTGGGTTTCGATCGCGGTATGCTGGCTTACGAGTCGGACTCGCAACGCCTTAGCCACGGACGCCGCACCCATACTATACCGATTGGTAAATACAAATATGAAACTACTAACAGGCTCTGTGTATCACGGACGTGAAATGGTTCAGTTACTCTTTACCTTCTACTTAAAAATCAAGTTGTGCTGATGTATTCATTCTTGTAGATTTTCCTTAACGGAGACAAGTTGGATAAGTTACACGCGACAATCCAGCCAGAGTTTCTGCCTTCAGATCTGGGAGGCAAGCTACCAAAACATAGTAACAAGGTGAATCTAATATTGCATCATTATCATCATCATCGCCTTAATTATCATGAACTCCCAATTTTGCCCCTAAACAGTGTGAGGAAGGAGCATTTTTGCACTCCATCGCTTGTGGATGTAGAATGTCTTCAATGCCATAAAATCTTATTGGCTGCCCTCTTGCTCTCAAATCTGATCTTTTCATGGTGGCGCTTGTGTTGGTAGGTGTTGTGGCTGCAGTTAAACGAGATGACCAAACCATTTAATCTTCTGCTTCTCAATTAATCTGGCGCAGTGTTGTTTCCCACCGTCTGTCTGGTAGTTTCATTTCTTAGAAGGTTAAGCTGGCTACTTTCCTCAGGTATCTCTTCTCGCAAATGTCCATTCTACGTAGATAAGCCTTTGCTAACGTCAAAGTGGGGTATTGATAGCACTTTGATTGTATGAATATGCTGTTTATAATCTTTGTTTTGGCTGTCATATTTATATTTGGATGCTTTTATAACCCGGTCAGTTGGTAAATAAGTTCTCTTTCTCTTTGACGTATTGTTCCAATTCCCAGTCACCTATGTTGTCCCTTCAGGATTGACTTCCTAGGCATTTAAATATAACTATTTTATTTTCTGCTTTAATCGAATAATGATTAATTCGATTATGAGAGACAAAATACTTGCTCGTTTTATGAGAATCAATGTATGCGAGCTTGGTGACAACTGGCAAGAAGCAAAACATGGAGCACATGGAAGAAAGTGAGATAGATACACGAAGATGACTTGACCACAGTGATTAGATGGTAAAAGAGCACTGACCCGATCCGTGTGTATGGTGATCGTGTGTAGAGACAATGACAACCGACTATGCTTTTCGGCCAGCTATATTACAATACTGATGTTTTTATTTCCTCAAATGGAGCAAAGGTCCTCAACAAGATCCCCATTTAACCTCCAAAGAGGTTATAACTGTGGCTACACAACTCGGTGTGTACCTGCAGTCGTGTGCGGATAGAACCATTTGATGAGTCTACAAGGCTGGATTGTATCAGCGATTTGTACCATAGTGTGGAGACCTTACGGCAACCACTCACAGGAGTGAAATGTATATGGTTGATAATATTACACATCCATATCTATTACATTAACACTCCAGCAAAACTTAGGTATTAAAGCATGAACACACAGATTTGAGGGCCCAATATAAAATGACTACGAACTTCTTATATGGCAAGTCACTTAACATTCATAGATCAGCTTAGGGACTTCCGGCCAAAATGGAGGAAAGGCTAGGCAGAATGCCAAGCATCGAAGTTATTTTTGCTTCCGACAGCGCTTTGCTAATGCAGTTTCCACATAAGGATGGTAGTCTACAGTTTCGCTGCCTGAGCTACTGAGTTTAGTGACTGGTTGCAGCCCCGTGAGCTGTGTTTGTCCTCTGGAATGTCTTTGATTTGTGTCGTGGTATTCAGTATGGGCGGTAGCCGGTTTACATGTGAATTGGTGACATACTTATGTAATAATTCTATATAGTAACCAGCTTATTGTGCCCGACTACTTCCATGAACGACAAACTGCATTTCTGGTGGTGATTGTTGACTTTGGCGCCTTTAGCAACGAAAAAGCATTTACTGCTACTACATATTTCTGGATTGTTACGGGACTATTTGTTTGTTCACCAGTTTTTCAAATGCTGCAGTGAGAAACATTTCATTTACTTTGCAATTGCACAGGAGCGGAGCAAGTATGGGGAAACCCGATTGTGTTGATGTTAAAACCTCGACTAAAACTAAGATCAGCATAGAGTCCCTAAGCTTGGGGGGGGGGGGGGGGGGAGTCCCTAGCAGACCCATGCGTTGAGACGGCCCTTCATCACCCCCCCCCTCCCTTTTCCAACCCATTTTCGCCCTCTCCCTACCTAAGTAATGCTGTAGTAACACCTGGAAGTCGGCTCAAATTTTGTCTTGATCTTTTTCGGAGATCCCAGTTTAGCACTGAGTCGACTATTCATCAACAGCAACATATAGATACTTGTATTTTTGTTTGGTAATCGTTTTGAATTCATTTATAGTTGTGTGTTTATCTTCTCCTACTTGTATGTGTTTGCCAGGACTTGATCGAGTCCCTGTTGGCCTCAGACGCCCAGTTTGAAGAAGACAACAAGTTTGGTTTCGTGAAGATGAATGTGAACAGCGACACTTCTGTCAGCAAAAGTGGAGATGCCGACATGCAAGGACTTGGCGGGACATTCAAGAAACTAGAGATATAACTAGCGCATCTTATTTTTTTCTTTAAATTGACAATTTTGTCGAATGATTTTCTTCAGTGTGGATAATTATTTTTGTTTTTTAACATTTAAAGCACAGTTTTTATTTAAAAAAAAAGGTAGTTTTTTTTTCACCCTCTAGTTCTTGGCCTTCTGGCTAAGATAATAAGGCCGTATCCGTCACTGAACCACTGACGCGTGCGGTCGGGGGATGTACCACACGCTGGCCAGGAATCTAGGGGATGTTAGTTAGTTAGTTTGTTGGGTTATCATCATAGCACTCCGGACATGTCCATTGGCGCTCAGATCCTCCTCTCAGTATGAATCCCTACGTATGATGGCTAATAGTACCAGTTCTATGTTGATTAACAAGTCTTCTGGTGTGTCTTGTGTGCGACTCGTATTTTGCTATGTCGATCTTAATTCCCAAGTCTGCCATTCTGGCGAGTGATGTGGATTCATTGCCCCCAAAGTCCTCTATCCTTCCCATTTCTCTGAGGGCAATAATATCAACATGATAAATAGGCTGACCGTCGGTAGTGATAGCGGATCCAGTCAACCTATCAGCTCTTTCATTTCCATCGACGCCTGCGTGTCCCGGAACAAAAATGAAGGTGGCTCCACGCACAGTGGACTTCTGTAATGATTCAAGCCATTGTCTTCGCACGGAACCTGCCTGAACCCTCCGGATCATACTAATTGAATAACTGAGTAGTATACATGCGCGGGTGTATTTTTGTGTTTCGAGCCAGGCGAACGCTTGCGTTACTACCATCACCTCTATCGTCATGCTGCTGGTTGTCATGGAAAAGGCGCCGTTGGCTTCTTTGACGGTTCTGCCTGCTGAGCGTGCTGTGAATGCTCATGCGCTTCTCTTTGTGTTTTTTTTTTAGGCGTATAACGGATCCGTCTGTGTAGATTAGTGCATCTGCTTCGTCTGAATTTTCACTGATGAGAGCGTTGACCTCTGAGTTAACAGCTACAGGATCAATCTAGGGAATGTGTTTATAAACATCAGTCCTTCACATCTTCACAGTGGATTGCTTCTGTCCGTCCACAAACCATGCCGCTTACTTTCCTTGACACCACACATGGGGATGGTGATTATAGGTGGAGTAAAGGGGCCCAACCCAAACAAGAGCACCACAATGAGCCAGGTACACGTAACGCATTATTAGATCTTATCGTAACCGTTTAACATTGTCTATGAGTACTATTATATAATACATCACGCCAAGTATGATCTTGCAGTGCGATCAGTCTCTTCATTATGGACGAACACATGGTCACAAATATGAATTGGTGATCAACGACACATGTCAAGTCTACTGTTGCCTCCAACATACTCACATTGGCAGTCTCTCCAGACATGGACAATACACCCTAGCGAACTGTTTACCAGGTGCCTGCTACAGCCGACCCACCCGATCGCGCAGACACATCCATGTGTGATGTGCCGTGATAATCCTTTTCCTCTAAAAGGCTCCGCCACCTGGGGACTCTAGGTAGATGCACCCCTTAGTAAAAAAAAAAAAATACAAACCTCCCATCTGCTACCCCAGCCACTCATTGAAGAATCCCAATACCTTCCAATCGCAACTGCATACTGTTAAACATACACAAAGTTTCCCAGCACCTTCTGTGCACTTAAGAACCCCCGTCAACCAGCACGCCATATAGCCGCAACCTTGCCGACCCCACACACATGGCCGATACAAGTCCATTCTACAAAGCACACCGACATATCACATGATCCAACAGAGTCATCCGGACAGCTCACACGAGCTCCACAGAATAAAACTGTGCTAAAACTGTCACATAACACAGTCTATGCCTCCAATGGACTTGAACAATTCGCGCACATTCCACACACTACTAAGACTGATTAAAACCAACTGACTGATTATAACTACAAGCGGACTTTGCCCACCCTCGGTAAATTCCACGGGCATCTTACTTTCTCACCACATTCAGGGTTCAAAACCCACTTCTGCTGTCGACCCAAACGGATCCCATAATTTCCTAACCATATATCCGAGTATATATTTTGTGTGTGGAATTTTTAAAACTTTCTTTCAAATGATGAATTCTTCATTGTTGTGATTTCCTGTATTATTTGAGCAATGAATATTTTCACAAGCGCCAACAAATTTACTCTTTGATGATTATTTTCTTGATGCTGTACTTTTTTGTATCTATAGTCCTGATCTTTCCAGTTATAAAGTGTAATATTACCATTGCTTAGTATGTCATGTATAGTCATAAGGTGTTGAGTTAATAAGAGCTGAACTTTTCCCACAAGAGTACCACACCTCAGTGGCTGCTGAGATAAACCAGGAAAGACAACTGCTAAGAAACTTGCTAAGAATGGGATAGAATGTGGAAGGAAGACAACTAACTTTGAAGAAAGTAAGGAGCATTCTAGTCTATCAGAAGTGAACAGAATGGGGCCAAAGATGACTATTAGATAGTTGACTGGCATGGACAGGTCATCATTCTATACCTCAGAACAGGTATATCAAATTTAATAAACATATGTACAGGCCTCATCTGAGTAGTTTACCATCGTGACCATCTGGACTGTGTGTACAAAACCACAGACCATGCATGTCCTGGAAGATTTTCCCTTGTACAGCACTTTAAGTGGGGAATACTGGCCCTGTGATTCAACTAAAGTCAAAATCCACTAAATGGTCAGTTCTAACTCATTAGTCTGTCCAAATCAAGGAAGTGAACACAAGAAGAAGAAAGTGTAAAGAGGATATTTTCTGTGAATGATTATGACATGTCTACACATGTGAACAGTAATTTCCCGTGAGGGTTCCGGGGCCCTACTGTGGGGAAAACAAGAATAGACCCACTGCCTCCCAAACAAGCAAGTCGTTAGAGTCGACTAACTGGGTATTACTTTGAAGTCAGAGTACATCTGCCTGAGAGGCCTAAGGACCTGCAGCTGACATGTGAGTTTATAGAGACAACCCACCTAATGGTCTGTTCTGAGCATATAAAACTGAACGTGAAGAAGAAGAGACTCAAAGTCTTATGGCCTCTGATGCTCAAATTTCCTCATTCTTTTGATATGGGTCATAATTTTCTCGTAATCAAGCAAATGGTTAGTTTTAATCCCAAAGAGAAAGCTGAATAGGTCAGCAGAGATGGTTTGGTTGAACCAGGTGTTCAGCATACTGTATATTTCTTAGTGTGCAGTGAGTTGAAAATTTTAAATTGCTTGATCTCAGTACTTTTACCCAGCATCTTCATAAGCATACCTTTATCGAACTTTTTTTTTTTTTCAGTGAGTTTATATTCAGTCATAAAAAGAATATTTTAGCAGAAGTAAAAGATATGTATTAATATTATACTAATATTCCGGCTTTCTCCTTCATTATGAGATGTTCACAGATTATATTACCCAAAATACCCTACCTAAAATTTCCAAGCTTCCTGTCTCGAAGAAATTGCCAGCTCACTGTCTTGAAGGGAATGTCGAGTCTCCTGTCTTGAAGGGAATTCCCAACCCCCTGTCTTGAAGGGAATTCCCACCCCCTGTCTTGAATGAATTTTCTCATCTTGAAAGGATTTCCCGTCTTCCTTTCCTAGAGGAAATTTCCAATGTTTAAAAAAAAAAAAAAGGAATTCCAACTCCTCATCTCAAAATGGGATTTAAACATATGACCACCACACCGACCAGTCACTGCACTACTCTGCCCCTAAACCATAATTTTTTTCGGGAAGAATATCATTTGAAATCTGAACTGTCACAGAATAAGCACCTGTCTGGGCCATTCCTTAACCAGCAAAGTTTTTTACCATTAGATTAATGAAGCATGCCGTCTTATATGTTTGCTATGAAATGCACACTGACATAATCAGGAGATCAAAACAACACGTCAATGACCTGGAAGTATCGGGAAAGCGCTAACGTATGTTTAGCTGTGGTGGAACAAACACTCTGACACCTTTCTGTGACATTTGGTTCTGTGACCTGTTATATTGATTGCCTCCTTACAAAGGTTCCCAAGCTGAGCGTGAGACAGGAAGAACTAGAGATCATTGCAGATTTAGAGAACTAGCCGATGTTTTTTCTTGCCACATTGAAGGTTTCCACATTGAAGATTGGGCTCTCCTCCAAATAACGGTCCAAAATGATCTACGCAGAAAGTGAACCCAAACAGAGCCTCATTACATCCTGCCCTACAAACATTTAAAAGGTGTAGCTCGGAAAAAATAAGGAACGAAAAGTGTAAGGAAAAGGGCAAAGTCTACTACTTACCGAAAATTAAATCCTTTATATGTGAAAATTGTGGCACAGAAGTTGCAAATAGTGCGCGAATATCTGTTCTTTTTCGCTGTCCGCCATTGCAACTCAGCACGGCTTGTCCGCGATTTTCGTTCCCGGCGAAACATGATCAGTAATGCGCGGTTCAATGTAGGCGCATGTCGCGTCGGGACAACTTCAAACCATCAGCCGCCACGATGGCGCCCCACTATCTCGACCACCCCTTGATCGTGGCGAATGCGACCACGCTGGTACTTCTGACAGTAGAAGTAGCTCCTGTAAATTGTAAACTTTTTTGCCACCTCCGAGAGTATCCCCAGCGCCGCGCTTAGCGAGAAAATATATTGGAGGAAGCTGCAGGTGCTGCGGTAGCTGCTGCTCGTGAGTCCTAGCCATCTAGTTTTGCTACTCGCGGCACGGGGGATACTCTCGGAGGTGGCACTATAGTCGGCGAAAAGCGGTCCGCAACTTACAAATAACTCGGGCCTTGCCGTAGGATAGCGCTATCGGGAGTATTCTCGTCCGTAGTTAATCCTAGTTTTGCCGCCGTTTAATCGCCGTAAAAAAATCCGTTGCGTTTCGCGAAAATGTCGTGCGCAATTAATCCTACTTTTGACACAGTTGATTCGCCGCAAAAGAAATGCGAATTTTAGATATGAGTGAGGCTCTGTTTGGGTTTACTTTCTGGGTAAATCATTTGGGACCGTCATTCGGAGGAGAGCCG